GTCTTTTCGGCTGTTTCTTTAGCTGATGGTTGACTTCCTGTAGTTTCTGACTCCAGGAGGTAAAGGGAAACAAATGAAGCGCACCTGTTTTCCTCCTCCTGTTGCCACGGTGAACATGTGGTGATGTGGAGGCTGTTGCCATGACGATGGCTCAGAGGGAGGGACTCACCTGTGGGGTTACCTGATCGTCACGTTCACACCTGAGTGTACCTGTCGGCTTCGATCAGAACACTCCAGCTTTGAGTCGTCTGCTGCTGGCCGCCTCCTGGCCCCGCYTCTTCCTGGCCCCGCCTCTTCCTGGCCCCGCCTCTTCCTGACCACTGTAGAAGCTGTGTCTGTAACCTTTACTGTGACGGAGTTTAATTTGAAGAAACCTTTAGCTACTTTTAGCTGGTTCAGCTGTCAGGCTTCTGGACGACAGGAAGTCTCACYGAATGTCTTATTTTTTCTAATGCTCTTATTTGTCAGGAGACACTGGAAGCCACGCCCTCTTCCCGTTTCCACGGCGACCTGGATATGGCGCCCTGGGAAAGCCCATCGAGCTGCTGGCCAACTGCTTCCAGGTGGAGATCCCCAAGATGGACGTGTACCTGTACGAGGTGGACATCAAGCCCGATAAGTGTCCCCGCCGGGTCAACAGGTAGCAGCAGAGAGGGAAGCGGGTCTGCTTTTCAAAATAAAAGTCCTGATTTATGACTTCCTGTCTGCAGGGAGGTGGTGGACTCCATGGTGCGCCACTTCAAGGTCACCATCTTCGGGGACCGGCTGCCGGTTTACGACGGAAAGAGCAGCCTCTACACCGCCAGCCCACTTCCTGTCGCCGCCGGCGGGGTGAGAGGCTCCGCCTCCTTTTTTACGAAGCCACCCAAACGGGTTTGGTTCTGAACGAAACTCTGAACGATGCGTTCCCCCCCCGCAGGTGGACCTGGACGTCACCCTCCCAGGTGAAGGCGGGAAGGACCGCCCCTTTAAGGTCACCATTAGGTTCGTGGCGCCGGTCAGCTGGAACCTGCTGCACGAGGTTCTGATGGGCCGAGGGGTCCCCGACCCGCTGGACCTGAACAACCCGCTCAGCACCAACCCGGCCCACGCCGTGGACGTGGTCCTGAGACACCTGCCCTCCATGAAGTGAGTCCGAAGCTGCCGCAGGTGTGACGACCAACACACGCTAACACCTGTCTCCTCAGGTACACACCTGTGGGGCGGTCCTTCTTCTCCTCCCCCGAGGGCTACGACCACCCGCTGGGCGGAGGCAGGGAGGTGTGGTTCGGCTTCCACCAGTCGGTCCGGCCCGCCATGTGGAAGATGATGCTGAACATCGACGGTGAGGCTGAGAGTTGGTGTCAGTGTACGGGATTAACGTTGTGCCAACAGGAAGTGAATCTGAATCTGCATTATTTTAATCTGAATTATTTTAATCTGAATTTAAAGTTTTGTATCTGAATTAATTTTCTTTGAAACTGTATTTTTGTTTATTAAAAATTCAGTTTGACTACTTTCACTTTCAGTTCCATCATTCAGATTTTTGTGTCACATCCTGGTNAATCTGAATTATGGAGCTGAAAGTGAAAGTAGTCAAACTGAATGTTTAATAAACCAAAATACAGTTTCAAAGAAAATTAATTCAGATACAAAACTTTAAATTCAGATTCACTTCCTGTTGACACAACATTCATCCTGTACCTCTGCTTCACATCTGGACCTGGGTCCGTGTGGTTTCAGTGTCGGCCACGGCGTTCTACAAGGCCCAGCCCGTCCTGCAGTTCATGTGTGAGGTTCTGGACATCCACAACATCGACGAGCAGCCGCGGCCTCTGACCGACTCCCACAGAGTCAAGTTCACCAAGGAGATCAAAGGTACTGGTTCTGACCCGGTCCAATTCAGTGGACCTGATCCAGATCTGTTTAATGGTTCTGACCCGGTCCAGTGCAGTGGACCTGAAGAAGGAAAGGTGTGCAGAAACATGCGAACGCACGGTTTTATAAATCTGACCCCTGGTCTGTTTAATGAACTTGATTTAGTGTTAAGTTGTCCTGTCTGGATCAGAACCTCCTCTGTCTGGATCAGAACCTCTGTCTGGATCAGAACCTCTGTCTGGATCAGAACCTCCTCTGTCTGGATCAGAACCTCCTCTGTCTGGATCAGAACCTCTGTCTGCTCTCAGGTCTGAAGGTGGAGGTGACCCACTGTGGGAGTATGCGCAGGAAGTACCGGGTGTGTAACGTGACACGCCGCCCCGCCAGCCTGCAGACGTAGGTTTCCCGCCTCTGACAGGTGTGYGTCACACCTGGAGGCGGGGCTTAGTAACACCTGGCTGCTGCCGTCCCACAGGTTCCCTCTGCAGCTGGAGAGCGGGCAGACGGTGGAGAGGACCGTGGCTCAGTACTTCAGGGAGAAGTACAACCTGCAGCTCAGGTAYCCCCACCTGCCCTGCCTGCAGGTGGGCCAGGAGCAGAAGCACACCTACCTGCCYCTGGAGGTGAGACTCAGCTGTTGTGTGGTTGGTGAGAAGCTCAATGTGTGACAACACAGCGTGTGTTTYCCTGCAGGTGTGTAACGTGGTGGCAGGTCAGCGCTGCATCAAGAAGCTGACAGATAATCAGACGTCCACCATGATCAAAGCCACGGCTCGCTCCGCTCCGGACCGCCAGGAGGAGATCAGCCGCCTGGTGGGTCACCTGCAGCGTGCTACCTGTCCACAGGAAGCCAGCGCTGGCTTTTTACCTCTGCTGCTTCTTTCACAGGTGCGCAGCGCCAACTACGAGTCYGACCCCTTCGTTCGGGAGTTCCAGTTCCGAGTGCGCGATGAGATGGCTCAGGTGACGGGCCGGGTCCTGCCGGCCCCCATGCTGCAGTACGGAGGCAGGGTGAGCTCAGAACACCTTGTTTCAGGCTGCTTTACAAGTGATTCACCTGTGGTGCAGTGCAAGGCTTCACACCTGGTCACACCTGTACACTCCTGGTCACACCTGTACACACCGGGTCACACCTGTACACACCTGKWCACACCWGKWCACACCWGGTCACACCTGGTCACACCTGTACACACCTGGTCACACCTGCACACTCCTGGTCACACCTGTACACACCGGGTCACACCTGTATGCACCTGGTCACACCTGTACACACCTGGTCACACCTGTATGAACCTGGTCACACCTGTACACTCCTGGTCACATCTGTACACACCAGGTCACCTGGTCACACCAGGTCACACCTGGTCACACCAGATCACACCTGTACACACCAGATCACACCTGTACACACCAGATCACACCTGTACGCACCTGGTCACACCTGTACGCACCAGGTCACATCTGGTCACACCAGGTCACACCTGTACGCACCAGGTCACACCTGTACGCACCAGGTCACACCTGTACGCACCAGGTCACACCTGT